TGCATTGGGAAAGTTCTTGAGTGATATAGCACAAATTGAATCTGGGATGGGGAAAGATGAATCAAAGTGTCCAAATTCACTCATGCAAGAGGCCGACATGAAGCAAGAATATCTACAAACTCACAAGGACTTGTGCCCTACATCAGGTAATATTGCTCCTCTTCTTGAGGAGATTGACCCTTGTACTAGAACTACTATTCCTGTTGAAGTTATTGATAATGTGAGTGATGATGAGGTGGATGAGGAAATCATAGTTGAATCCCCTCATATGTTTCAAAATGACAATTCTCACTTAAACACTTCTAATAGTAGTTGTTTAGTTGATGATATTGCTTGCACTGTCACTGCTTCTTTGTGTGAAGAACATGCTTCTCTTTCTAGTGCTAGATTGGATGGTGAAACTAATTCTGATTTGAATGAACCTTTATCTTGTTCTTGCAATGCTCATACTATATGCATGGATTGCATTGATAACAAAAATGATATACTTGTTGAGTGGCAAAAGCAGAACTTTGGTAAAGTGTGTGCATTACCTTCTAGTACTGAAAGTGCTGAAAATATAAAGCATGATGTTGATGTGAATTGCCTAGAAGATGATTTTGTGAAAAAATGTGAACCTAACCATTGCCTTAAGAATCAAATTCATGATAATTCTAATGAGATTGTAGCTTCTAATAATGTTGAGAAAGGTTTTAAAGTTTCAATTGATAAAATTATGAATATCAATAAGTCTTTCCAACAAGTTTTATCTTGTGATTTACCTCCTGATTTATCTTGCATTGTAAATAGTAGTTTGCATAAATCGTTTTGTTCTTTCTTTTCTTCCCCTACAAACACTACCTCTTGTGAATGTGATAGTGATGTACTGTACTCCAACAACTGTCAGTTGGATTCTTCAGCTTCCACTTCACATAAGCTTGAGTATTTAAAAAATTTAAATAAAAATTTGACTCCTACTGATGGGAGTACTATTGATTTCCTTGGTTGTGATAGTTACTTGGAGAGATTAACTTCTAACCTGTCTTTATTTCATTTTTATCCTCTTCATGTTTCTATTTCTGGATGTGGTACTGCTGTTGGTTCTACTTGCTTGCAGGACTCCACACCACCACTACTAAGGAAGATCAATAATGGAGAAGTGAGCATATGGAAGAAATGCATGTTTCTCATCTGAGATGAGAACTTCTCCTACAAGAGTTTGAAGAGATTTCGTTCTCAAGGTTGTCCCTTTCCTTCCTTAACTCTTATCTTTTGAATGATTTGCTTGTTTTGTGAGATAAGTGTGGGGGAGGGACATACCCAGTAGTAAAAGTAGTTTGTTTTCTTTTCTTTTCTTTTCCTCCCTTTTTGATTTTGGTTTCTCTTGTTTAGGGTTACGCTTGAGTTTTGCATTGGGGACAATGCAAAGTTCAAGTGTGGGGGAGAGATTAATATTCAGTTATTGTGTTGTGTTTTTCTGTGCTTAATGAAAAATCTGGTTTTCTAAAAAAATTTCAAAACTTTGATTGATTTTTGAACTTAATTTGAAGATTGAGTCAAAAATTTTTAAAAATGTTTGCTTCAATTAGCTTACACTTGAATTTGTGTATTTTTGGACTTTGGTAAATATTTTTGAACTTGTATTGATACTCATGAGAATTGCTATTTGTTCAAAGTTGATTGTTTTAGTTTTATTAGTCACAATTCTTCAAGCTTGCTTTTATATTGATTGAGTTAATGCATTGTGACTAATCTGGAGTACAATTAATCTTTGTGCATGAGCATTTGAGAGTTAGCCTTGTTGGAAGATTCTTTGAGCCTAATTTTCATTCATAGTGAGTTGCATCCACTTATATTTTCCACTTTCTAGAACTTGTTCCAATTCTTAATCAAGACTTAGTTGCATTAATGTGATGAGCATGATAGAGGCATTCTTTTCTAAACCCTTACATTCCAAACACAAACCCAGATGATTTTATCCATTGCTAACCATTTGAGCCTTCATCTTTTCTTAAGTGCCAAGAGATACATTATACATTCAAGCTTCCAACATTTTTACTATTACATTCATGATGTGTTAAACTTTGTCTTGTTGGGTTTTGAATTGCCAAAAGAAAAAGAAAAAGAAGAGAAAAGAGAAATAGAAAAAGGCAAAGAAATAGAAGAAAATGTTTAAGAAAAGCCAAAGAAAGAAAGATCAAAATAAAATGGTACCAATAGAATAAAATCTTGAAATAAGGCAATTCATTGGTGGTTTGAAGAACAAAGTTGTGCTTTTAGAGAAATAGAGTAAATAGTAGTTGGAAACCTTTTCTAAGATGCTTGGTGCTTAATCATTTCATATCTTTTCACCTTATCTTATTTCATTTAGCCCTTTCCATCATCATAACCTTAAGAGTCCTCTTGATCATTGTATTCATGCATTAGAAGTGGAGAACTAGGATTGTAACAAGCTTATGGTAAAGTGGTTGATTAAGTGGATTTGAGAGAGAATTACCCCAACTTGGTGAGTAGAGTGAAACAATTTATATCTTGAGTGTTTTCTCTTTTGTTCATTCCCATTGCATTGATTGTACTCTACTTTAATCCCTTCTCATTAATTTGGATTACTATAATTGCTTGTTTGAAGAGTTGGATTAATGACACTACCGCTTTCTTACTTGTCCAATACTCATACAAGGTCTCTCTACTATCTTGCTGAACGCCATAGATAGCCTTCCTCAATTTAGATGTCCTTGATGCAGGAAAGTATTTCTCTAAAAAGGCCTTCTTAAGTTGTTCCCATGTAAGTGTGGTGAAGTGTTGAGGTAGAATTTGCAACCATTCCTTAGCATTTCCTTCTAATGTGAAGTGGAAAGCTCTCCTTAGCACATCTTCCAATTGAGCACCATGGGGCTTCATAGAGGAACAAACCGTATGCATGTTTTGAAGATGTCTATATGGATCATCCCCTGCAAGACCAAGAAATCTTGGTAAGGTACTAATCAAGGTACCTTTAAGTTCAAAATCAGCTTCAAAGTTATAAAAACCACATGGATCACAGTTCACACTTGAGTTATTAATGTCTCTAATGCTCCTATTCTCCTAATCTCTATTCAATTGAAGATTAGCATTATGAAGAACATTTTCAGCTTACCTTTCATTTTGAGGTCTATTTGCAACATTACCTCTCTCAGTTTGAGCATTGTTATTATTTTGATCCATCACAAAATGATTGTCTATAAACCCTCCTAAAGTAGATTCAGATTCTGAGAAAGAGCAAGATTCAACTTGAGGAAGGGGGTCACTCTCTATAGGTTGCTTACTAGATTCAGTTATTTGTTTGGTTTTCTTGATTTGCCTTAGAGTTCTATTGATTTCCAAATCAAAAGGTAAAAGGGTCTTATCCTGGGACATGCAACTAAGGAACAAGAGAATAGACTAATAAAATAAATGTGAAAAAGCAATTAGACAAAAGAAAAGGATCAGAGAGAAAGCAAAAGGTTAAGAGGGGATCCTGTGAAATCCCCTGCGGCACTTTCTCGAATCCGCCATGGCCTCTATTATAGAGATGACTCTCGAGCTAAAATTAGGTAGGCGCTGCGGCGCTTGATGGAATCCATCGCGGCTCCTGTTATAGAATCGCTACTGTCAAGGGCGCTGCGGCGTCTGGTGAAATCCGCCGCGGCGCCTGCTCCTGATAAACCAGATGAACAAATTTGCAGCAGCTTCTAACACTGCTCACACCTTCACTCCTGCAAATTGAACCTTTAACACAATGGTATTAATTTTCCTACAAGAAGAAGATCTCAAAAGCATAAAAACAATCAACCATCATCAGATTTAGTGAAAGAACAATTAAAAGGAAAAAGGTTGCTAAAGCAAGGATTCAAACAATTCACAGCTGACCAAATTGTGTTAACTCCTTGACAACCTAAGGAATTAATTTAGAACGCAACAATAAAGGAGACAACTCAACAACAAAGCACAAGAGTGAAAATGCGAAAACAAGTCAGAAACACTAAACCTACTTTTTATGTGGTTTTGGGTCTTTCAAATATATATATATATTTTTCTTCTTGGCAAACCAGTGAATTGCTTAGAACTTCAACAAGTATGGCTCCCTGGCAACGACGCCATTTGATAAACCTTGTCGCTAGGTGATCAAAATTTTACTAGGGAAATGCAGCAAGTGAGGCAATACCTAGGTCATTCTTCTCAAGGAGCCTTAAGTTGTAATTCAATTCTTAACAATTCACTTTAATTATCAAATTACCAAGGTGAAAGCTTGAGTTTCAAAAAAGAGAAATTGAAACAAGAAACAAATCCAATGAAAGATAAAATGCAAAAGAGATTCAGATAAGAGATAGTAGTTCCCCTAGCAATTTATCCAACCTTCCTTGTTCAATCTTATAATTTAGAGTCTCTCAAAGTCAATTAAATGGATAGATTCAGCTACTGCTCAAATCTCTCTAAACACAGATAAGAAACAACTATCTTACTAGATTCATTGTCTTGCTCTAGTGAGAAGGAAAATCAATTGACAAGAACACTTGAGAAGCAAGTTGCAATTCTCTAAGGATGATCACAACTGTGAATCATCAATTCATTCAATCAAAATTCAGAATTACAGAACAACAGTCCAAGTAAAAACAAATTAGATCTACAAATCAACAGAGAATCCTCTATTCAACTGAATCAAGGACACAACTCACATATGAATGTTCAATCAGATCTAAATTCCAAGAAACATAAATCTAATCACTCAACCTTCATTCTAATCACAAATGTTCTGTGGAAATCCCGATAATCATGGGAAACAAATAAAGGATTCTATTTGATATTATTGTATTATTTATTGATTGATTTTGCCCGTTGTAAAATAGTCAGCTAGGTCCTTTATTATTTTTTATTACCCATTAATTCCTTTCCTAGGATAGATACAATACAGCCCCTATAAATCCCTGTACATGTTCGACTTGTTAAAATATAAGAGTATATACAGTTTTTTACTCACATGGTATCAGAGCATTAGGTGGGTACCTCTTGAATCACTATTGTGCGACCTCATGTCGCTATCTCCGAAAAAAACAGAGTCGACCAAGTCGACTATGGAACCAGAGAGTTCCGTCCTCTCACGCCACCCATCAAGTCTCGAAGGAAATGCCGTCCTCATCGTTCCAGAAAAGTTGACCGGTGAGAATTATCGTGAATGGGCGCAATCTGTGAGGCTCGCTGTTGAAGGTCGAGGCAAGCTAGGCTACCTCACCGGCGAAGTTGTTTGTCCGTCGTCCACCAACTCTCAAGCTGTGCACCTCTGGAAAACTGAGAATTCGATGGTCTCTTCCTGGCTGATTAACGCAATGATACCAGCCATTAAACGGAGCTTCATGTTCCTTCCCACTGCGTGTGAAATATGGGACGCTGTGCGAGAGGCATATTCTGATGGAGAGAATGTCTCCCAAGTCTTCGAAATTAAAACAAAATTGTGGCAAACGAAGCAAGGTACGGGAACCTTAAATGATTACTATTTAACCATGTCGGCTCTGTGGCAGGAACTTGACCTCCAGAATGACGATACATGGAAATGCTCTGAAGATGCCGCACTATACAAGAAGAAGGTCGACAGAGAACGCCTCTTCGAGTTTCTTGCAGGTATTAATTCAGAGCTTGATGCCGTTAGAGGACGCCTCTTGAGCCGTGTTCCCTTGCCTACCGTCCGAGAAGCATTTGCAGAAGTAAGGAGGGAGGACTCACGACGACGAATCATGATGCCCAACCCTGTTGCTGCAAGCAGCAATCATGAATCCTCTGCTCTAATTACTCGGCACAGTACAGATAATAAAGGTCCAAAAAACAAACCAATCTGTGAACATTGCAAGAAGAGTGGCCATACAAAGGAGACATGTTGGGATATACACGGTAAACCCGCAGATTGGAAACCAAAAAAGAGCAAGGGACGTAGCTATATGGCTGGAACAGAACGGAATGAAATGCAACCTGCCACACCCGCTGCTATATCTAATGACCAGCTCTCTAAACTAATAGAGATGCTCAGCAACCTGCAACCTTCTGGTCAGCCATCACGCACTCAACCTACTGCCACAGTGGTACACAAAGGTAATTTTTTACATGCTTTGAATGCAATTCAAAGCCTCTGTACAGGTAGGTGTTGGATAATAGATTCTGGTGCATCTGACCACATGACTGATAATCGTGGCTTATTTATATCTTATACGCCGTGTGATGGCACCCTTAAAGTTAAAATTGCTGATGCATCATTATCTACTGTAGCTGGCATTGGTGATATCCGAATATCAGAGCATATAATTCTTCATGCTGTCCTTCATGTCCCTAAATTAAAGTGCAATTTAATATCTGTGCACAAAATTACCAAGATTGAAAAATGCCATGCTGATTTCTATGATACTCATTGCTTATTTCAGGACCTGTCAACAGGGAAGATGATTGGGAGTGCTAAGGAATTTGACGGCTTATATTACTTTGATGATGCCTCCATTACAAATACTAGTGTCTGCAATAAAGTTTCTCTCCCTAGGGATAGTGATATTTTCCTTTGGCACAAACGTCTTGGCCATCCTAATTTTCAATATTTAACTCAAATGTTTCCTTCTAGTTTTCCTAATAAAAATGTTTCTGAACTTTCTTGTGAAGTCTGTGAATTTGCTAAACATCACCGCACTACCTTTTCTCGAAATATTTATCAACCCTCTTCTCCTTTTATTACAATTCATAGTGATTTATGGGGGCCTAGTCGGATTGCCAACCGAACTTTTCACAAATGGTTCATTACTTTTATTGATGATCACACTCGCGTTTGTTGGACTTATTTACTTAAAGAAAAATCTGAAGTTTATTCTACTTTTGTAAACTTTCATCAAATGATAAAAAATCAGTTTAATACCTCTATAAAAATTTTTCATACAGATAATGGCACCGAATATATTAATCATAGTTTTACTACCTTTTTCCAAGAAAATGGCATTATTCATAAAAGTTCTTGTCCTCACAGCCCCCAACAAAATGGAATTGCAGAACGGAAAAATCGACACATTTTAGAAGTTACTCGTGCCCTTCTCCTCACTCATAATGTCCCAAAGTATTATTGGGGTGATGCTATCCTCACTGCAACTTTTCTTATCAATAGAATGCCCAGTAGAATTCTCTCCTTTAAAACCCCTCTTGAGATCCTTCACAAGACTCACTATGTTCCTTATCTTCATAACAATCTCCCTCTTAAAATTTTTGGGTGTTCTGTCTTTGTTCACTTGCACAATCAAGGGAAACTAGAGCCTCGTGCTGATAAATGCATTTTTCTAGGCTATTCTGCCTCTCACAAGGGATACAAATGCTATAACCCTCTTACCAAACGCCTCTATATTAGTTGTGATGTCACTTTTCATGAGTCTGAACCATTTTATTCCCAGCCTTCAATTCAGGGAGAGAGTTGGGATGAATTGAAGTCTTCAAAAAACAATAATACTTCAGCCCCTCTAGAGGACACGGTTGAATCTCATTATTTTGTGGAGTATGAACCACCTATTACTTTTGAACTTGAGAAAAATCCCAATGAGGGGGAGAAGCAAACCAAAAAAGACACTAAGAAGGCGTACGCGAGGAGGCAGAAAAGTAAAGACAAGCCACTAACTCCTAAGGCACACCATGAATCAGAACAAATGACAGTTCCTGAGCCTGAAGAATTTAGTATTGTTAATGTTGATGATCAGACAGGTAATGTAGATCCTACAGGTGAAACAATATCTGACTTGGACCTCCCCATAGCACAAAGGAAAAAACCTCGAAGCTGCACACAACACCCAATCGAGAAACACATCTCCTACAAAGCTCTCTCTCCCCGGTATTTAGCATTCACCAGCAATCTAGACAATATAAAGACTCCAACTAGTATTAAGGAAGCTCTTGAGTCTCCAAACTGGAAAAATGCTGTTATGGAGGAAATGGGTGCACTCAAAAGAAATGGCACTTGGGAAGAAGCAGCTCTACCACAAGGAAAGAAGGCCGTGGGGTGTAAATGGGTGTTCACAGTAAAATACAAAGCTGATGGAACAGTAGATAAATTCAAGGCAAGACTTGTAGCGAAAGGATTCTCTCAGATATATGGCACAGATTATACAGAGACCTTTGCCCCAGTAGCCAAGCTCAATACTGTAAGAATCTTGATGTCCTTGGCAGCAAATCTAGATTGGCCTATTTACCAACTAGATGTAAAGAATGCGTTCTTAAATGGAGACTTGAAAGAAGAAGTATATATGATACCACCTCCTGGGTTCCCAACTAGAAAACCGAATATGGTATGTAAACTGAAGAAATCTCTTTATGGCCTAAAGCAGTCACCGCGGGCATGGTTTGAGCGATTCACACAGGTTCTCAAGGATGAGGGCTACACTCAAGGGCAAAGTGATCACACATTATTCTTTAAACATCAAGGAGATAAGAAAACCATCTTAAGTGTCTATGTAGATGACATAGTTCTCACAGGAGATGATCATGAAGAAATGAAGAGAATAAAAGCTGCAATGGCAGAAGAATTCCAAGTAAAAGACCTCGGAGAGATGAAGTACTTCCTGGGAATGGAGGTGGCCCAGTCTAAGAAAGTAATCTACATCTCCCAGAGAAAATATGTGCTTGATCTCCTTAGGGAAACAGGGATGTTGGGCTGCAAGCCTAGCTCTACACCAATTAAAGTTTCAACGAAACGAAAGAAGAAGAAGAATAAAAGCAAAAGGAAAGATGAAGAAGAAAGTGAAGAAGAGGAAGAAGATGAAGAGGAGAGTGAAGGCATCGATGTTGACAAAGGCAGATATCAAAGACTTGTTGGGAAACTCATCTATCTTTCACATACTAGACCTGACATCGCATTCGCAGTAAGTGTGGCTAGTCAACACTCTCAAGCTCCTAAAGAAAAACATCTCAAAGCAGTGTATAAAATCCTGAAATATCTAAAGGGCACTCCAGGCAAAGGCATCTTGTATAAGAAGACCGAGAAGGCGAACATAGAAATCTTTACTGATGCAGACTATGCTGGTGCTCATGAAGATAGAAGATCTACATCTGGTTACTGCACGTACATATTGGGAAACCTAGCAACATGGAGAAGTAAGAAACAAAATGTGGTATCTAGAAGCAGCGCAGAATCAGAATATAGAGCAGTCGCTCATGGTATATGTGAACTAATTTGGGTAAAGAGAGTCTTGGAGGAATTAAAAATTGAAATTGAACTACCAATGAAGCTATACACAGACAGCATGGCAGCCATCAATCTCTCTCACAACCCTATCCAACATGATAGAACTAAGCATGTTGAAGTTGACAAACACTTCATTAGGGAAAAGATTGATAGAGGACTAGTCGAGCTTATACATGTGCCCACTTGGAACCAGAATGCGGACATCTTCACAAAGGGCCTGCGTAAAGAAGTTTTTGAAGAATTTGTTCGCAAGTTGGATATGATTGACATCTATAATCCAACTTGAGGGGGAGTGTGGAAATCCCGATAATCATGGGAAACAAATAAAGGATTCTATTTGATATTATTGTATTATTTATTGATTGATTTTGCCCGTTGTAAAATAGTCAGCTAGGTCCTTTATTATTTTTTATTACCCATTAATTCCTTTCCTAGGATAGATACAATACAGCCCCTATAAATCCCTGTACATGTTCGACTTGTTAAAATATAAGAGTATATACAGTTTTTTACTCACATGTTCAACTGAAACAAATGAATCTTAGAATAGAAAGTGGAAAATAGATCTGAAATGACTCCCTGTTTAGCCCTATAAACTCAGGTCAGCTTCATTGCTAGGAGAACTTGGAAATTCAGCTACTCATACTCTGAATTGGAGCAGAAACAGCAAGAATTGATGAAGAATTCATAGATGATCAGTGGAAAATGATGGATTTGGATGAAAATGGAAGAGAGAATTGAGAGAAGGCGGAGAGAACAAGAAAATCAGTATCTGGAGGGAATGAAGAACTGAATCTGGCGTCCTTGGTTATAGCGCGTGACTCTGTATTTAAATCTGAAATTTTCCATCATCCGTCACGGCGCCTTTGTCCATCTGCCGCGGTGCCTGGCCTGTATGGTGTCGTTTCGATTTGTGATCCTGAGCTTCATGTAAATTTTGGTCCGTCGTGGCGCATCTGTCCATCTACTGCGGCGCCTTGGACCAAGAGTACTTTTGGATATCCGCCGCAGTACCTTTCCAAATCCACTGTGGTGCCTCAGACAGAATGGCGAAAAATGCTAGAGAAACTCCTTGAAATTCACACCAAGGCAGGGATCAAAAGTACACACACATAAAATCATATAAAAACATGCAAAAACACCTGCAAAACCTCATAATTCCTTTCACCAACTCTTATGCATAATGAAAGCTAGTTATACTCAAAGTATGCAAATATAAATGGCAAAAGCATGAGTTTAGGGCTAGAAATATATACAAATAATGAGACTTATTAGTAAGCATGAGTTAGATCAAGTAAGCATGTCATATACTTGCATCTATCTTGCATGCATTGATGGTAACGTTTACTACTAAAATTCTCCCGAATCTCACTCTCCCTTAACCAACCATCATAGGTGATAATGATCAAACAAAGGATGCATGAAGTGGAAGCAAGGAAACAGGTAAAGAATTAAGGAAATTTATTGGATTACATTGTATAATTTGTATGTTAATGTATGATATGAACATGCCATTAATATTATGTGATGACAAATAATGATGATGGCATGTGTGAACACCCAATTTTATCTGGGCCTAATAAGTCTCATTATTTGCATATATGTCTAGTCCTAAACTTATGCTTTTACCATTTATAATTGCATATTTTGGGTATAATTAGCTTTTATTGTGCATAAAAGTTGGTGAAGGGAGTTGTAAGGTTTTATTTGTGTTTTTGCATGATTTTATGTGATTTTATTTGTGTGTACTTTTGATCCTTGTTTGGCGTGAATTTCTGGGAGTTTCTTCAGTGTTCTGGTCATTCTGTATAAGGCACCATGGCACATCATTTCAAGAGCCACGACGGATTTACAAAACTACTCTCGGTAATAGGCGCCGCGACGGATGATCAAAAGCGCCATGGTGGATGCGGTCTAACGAAGAACTCAGAATCACTAATTGAGAAGACACCATTTTGGCTAGACACCATGACGGATATGAGGAGGCACCGAGGCAGACAACAAAAAAATTTAGAATTTAATACAGAAGTCACGTGCTTGTGCAGGGCATTGATTCATTCAGTCCTTCCACCTTTAGATCACCAGTTTTCCTTGTTCTCTCATCCTTTTCCCAATTCTCTCCTCCATTTTTGTTGCAACTTACTATTGTATCATCTTAGGGTTCAATTAAGACCATTTTAGACTATATTGGATGGTCTTGGGCTCAAATTTAACTCAAAAATGCTAATTTTCAGATTTTCACTGTTCATCAGGTAAAAATCCAGTTTTCTGGCTCAACTTCAAAAATTCATAACTTAATCTAGAAAAATCAAAATAGAGTGATTCAAAATTCTATGAAAATATATTTGAATGATATTTCAGGGAAAAATAGTCTTGAAAACCAATTCCATTGGAAAAAGTGTCAGGGTTTTGTGAAAATCACCTCTATCTATTAGGCAAAAACCCTTTTTCCAGATTCTGAACCTTAACTTTGAAAAATCATTAAAAATCGTGTAGATGGCCATTTTTAATGTTTTAGATATCAAAATGAAGATCAGAACGTGATCTACAAACATGCCAAACTTTGTAATTAAACACATTCGAGAACTTAATCAAAACATCACGTAAAGGTGACGGTGTCGATGAATTTACAGCATTGCCCAGCATAATATTACATAACCCAAATGTCCACGAATTTTTATGATATGATACCATACTTTTAACCCTCAATCTGCAGCTTACCCTTGGATGTTTCAGGTCCTAAAATGTTTGATTGTATTTGGGGAATGAGATTTCATTAAAATCTCAATAGCAAATTAACCAACTATATCATCAACATGCATAATTATATTAACTACTATTGGTGAACTAGCATACTTATCATTTGGAAAACTTAATCATGCAAAGGCCAAAGCAAGAAAGTGCAAAGAGCAGCCACATTACGATCAAGAAAGTTCATCCACATAA